AAAAAAAAAATAAAAAAAAAAGAAAAAAAAAGAAAAAAAAGAAAAAAAAAGAAAAAAAAGAAACTTAAGTAGTCGTTGGTTTTGATATTATAGCATTATCTGATCTAGGCTCATCAATACATTCATTTTTTACAGGAACCGGATTAACTGTATTATGAATTATTTCAATATCACTTATTGGTGAAGTCAATGCTACATTATTTAGTGAATTTGAATGAGGAACATCATCATGATCTTTTGTATTTTGCATTTGCTTTGTACCATTGTCACAAATTTCAACATTCGCGCTAACGTTTACTGTATGCTTTTTCATATGAGTTGTTAAGTTTCCACTGTGATAAAAATCTTTACCACAGACTTTACATTGAAATGGCTTAATACCAGAATGTATCCTTTCATGTATTGATAAATTCCCACTATGACGGAATTCTTTACCACATACAGAACATTTGTATGGTTTTACTCCAGAATGAGTACGCAAGTGTGTAGATAAATTTCCACTGTGACTAAACATTTTACCACATATTTGACAACCATATGGCCTTTCACCTGAGTGAGTCCTCATATGTATTGCTAAATTTCCACTATGAGTAAAGCATTTCTCACACTGACTACATTTATACGGTCTTTCCCCGTTATGAGTTCTCATGTGAATGAATAAATTACTCTTGTGCCCAAATTCTTTAAAACAAATTTCACACTGACACTTTAATTTTTTTGTCACTGTAGTTTCAGAAGAACTCTTTGGAGGTCTTCCCGGACGATTATGTCTTATTGAGGGAATTGCTTGCACAGTTGCTGAAGTTTGATTCGCACTTTTAGATTGCTGTGCATATTGTAATCCTTGCGTTGATTGCGTTTCATCTGCCAAATTCTGTTGGCTCTGTTCAGAAAATTGAGTTTGAGTAGCAGCCTCTTCTTGATGTTGATTAAGTTGAAATAATATGCCATGATGAAAGTAATCTTTCACATATGTTAAAGAACCTGTTTCCTAAAATAATATTATGTTTGTTTTTTCTGTATCTTTTCTAATAATATCAACATAACAACCAGCTCTTTAAAGAATCATTGAAAAATAAATGTTGATATGTTGACATGATGTTAACATCATGAACTTGATATAACATAAATTATATATGTGTCCAAGTCAAATAAATTCTTTTATCATATCATATAAGTTCAGTCAAATTCTTAGTTTTAGAAGAAAAAAATAAATAGTCATTATTACATAGTGTGGAATAGAATAGCAGATATCCTTTACAATTATAATGATTATTTACTTGTGCTTGAAGTAGATCCTGACAGTTGTAAGCTTCTTCTTTTTGAGGAATACTTGCAGACGATTGTGCATAATCCCAAAATTGTGGTAACTGACGATACCTGCACTCAGGATCTTGATTGAGAAACAAAGGATATTTAGAACTATCTGAAGTATCGATCCTTCCACTTCTGCTAACATCTTCTCCTCCTACATATTCGTACTTAATTGGTACAGGACTAAACATCTGTAAATACATATTCATAAATTATATTTTTTGACATTTCAATTTGATTGTAAATTTATTACAGCTATATATATATAAATAAATATGTCTATGATGCTTGAAATCAAATATATTTTAATATCATTAACAGAAGGATATTAAATAAAACGTAAGTGTAATAAAGGGGCCCATACATGAAAAATACTCACACTTTCACTTAATAAATGTTCCTTGAAATTAAAAACCAATATTGCACAGTACTTCTGCAATTACTTATTTTAATATTAATAACTAATTAAATATGATAAGTTTGATTGATAGAGTGAATATGGTAATAATCTTCCATTCTTAATTAGTATCATAAAATAATTGTGACTACTGTTACCAGTCACTTTGAGATTCATCCATGGATCCATTACAAGGTATATCCAATCTCTTTGTCTGCTTTCTTAATATCAGTAAGTATAGATACTATAAGATTTCCAATGTACTAGTTTTGGAAGCAACGTGAACGTAGCTTAGAAGTTGCATTTTATCAGTGTACAAAAATCCCTGTTATGTAACAGGTAGATTGGTAAGATAGGCTTACACTCTAAATTAAAAGTAGTTCAAGTCCAAGTTAAGAAAGCGTTTAAAAAAGCTGACTTGCTCCTAAATAATAACTGTATGCGAAAACGTGAAATTTTATACTATAAAGACAAATATATTGTGTTACTGTTACATATATAAGAAAAGGATTCATCTCAAAAAGCATCATTCAATAATCAGTCCTTACATTCTGACATAAACAACTTCCCCTACAGCTTTTAGATTTCAGCGTCACCTAACTGTACATGACCATAACTTTAATAAGAAATCATATATTCCATATGTCTATCTATGTTAGTTTTCGTTTGTGATTATTACCTATAGTTAGTCTTTGTGTTAAATATTCAATGATTAACGTAAATAACAAAACAGACGACGTTAAACGATAAATTAATAACGAACGTTGTTAGTTATTTAAAAAGGAAAAAACTGATGTTTTGGCAGAATATTTTAATAAATAAACATTTATTGGAAAATACATAAAAATAGTAAGAAAATTTGTTCATATTTTTAATGTTCTTAAACTTAATGTTTATATATATACATATATATAATATATATAATATAATATTTATATAATTTTATAATATTAATATAAATTTAATAAATTTATTATTTATTATTATTATTATTTTATAAAAATTAAATTAAATTTAATAAAGAAGAGTATAATATTTGTGTGTTATTATTATTGCAGATATATAAAGTGTTTGATATGTGAGCTTTTTTATTATGCCTAGTGGACGACGTAATGCTAGTGGTCGGAGTGCTCCGACTAGTAAATCACAATCTAATCTTGCTTCATCCACTGGAAGAAGTAATAGTGGAGATAGAGTACTTGGAAGTGGTGGAGATGAAAAAAAATTAGATGATAACTATGGAAAGTTGTTGGCACCAAAACATGTACCTATTCCAATGGTACCAGTAGATGGACCATTAACATTTGAAACCTTGTCATTAGTCGTGTCAGTTATTGCAGCATGTTTACAATTATTAAATCTGTATAGAACTGTCTGGTGGTTATCTCATTCATATAATTCATATAGCATGGTATGCTACTTTGATTAAATATATTTCCAGTAAATATATTACATATACAAAAATTATGGTGTACCCATGTACGTGTGGCTCTTATAATCTTGTTATAATTACAATACTTTATGTGTACATTGTTTCAGAATTTTTATCTCATAGATCCTTATCTTCTCATATTTATCATTACTATGGTAGCACGGAGATTTGTATATACATTATTAAGACGATTAGTTGATTTTTCATCCCCAACTCGTTGGTTTCACATAGCTCAAAAATTAATGAGGTATAATATAACAAATCGAATATAGTATATGTATAATTGTTATGTTAAATATCTAAAGAATATTTTATATTTTAGGATAACTCTATTATTTATAGTTCTGAGCATATTACTTTGGTGTTTATATCATATGGCAGAAAGATACTATTTTATGAAACTTTTCTATTTATCTTATCCGTGAGTATCTTTCATAGCTATATTTCCAATCAATTTCTATAACACACACTACATATGTATAATTGTTTATTTTCAGCAGTATATTTGTGTATTTTTTTACGTTTGGTATGAGTATATCACCATTCTTTGATATGTCAGCGGCACCTCGACACATTAAAGAAGATAAAAGAATGAAATATTTATTGGGTATATTATTTGATATCTTAAATTGAGATAGTTTTATTGATAAGACAGTAAAATATGTCAATATTTTTATAGATACTCCTTTACACAATTGTTCATTAAGTGCATCAGCAATCAGAGCCGAAGTTTCTACCTTTAGTTCAGATTTTAATCATAGATTAAAAATAGCATTATATGCGTCATTTACTACCGCTTATATCTGCGGTATCGCTCCTATTATATTTGTACCACAATCCTTACATTTCAATGTGCAATGGGTAGTACAATATGTTGTGTTATTTTGGCTTGGAAGAATAAGTGCTCATTTCGCGCAAGCTTATCCAGTAAGGTATATAAAATAATAATGAACTTTTTTTTTTTATTAGACGTATTAGTATTTTCATGTTATGTTCAATCATTAAATTTAGGTATTGCGATGTATTACATAGAGCAGCCCTTCATTTAGGGCGTTGGGTAAAAATTGAGAATCGTAATAACACGATATATGTGCAAGTATGGAACGAGGGTATTTTATGGCCACACGGGTCGATTGTAAAATATAATAAAGAAACATATCGTTCGGAGGGTCTTTGCACTGCTGCAGAACCAGGAAATCGAAGTCATTATAGGTTTCATGTAAGTACTTATTATTATTTTTTTCATGACTTTTTATTCAATTATTTAGAAAATATATACAGGATGTCCACAAAAGGTTCGAGTCGTATCCTATTCGAAATTAAATATGAACTGGGAAGGATTATTCAAATTGGATTTAAATCGACAAAATTTTAATCAATTGTTTTTTCTTTTATTCGTTAGGAATTATTTTGTTGTCGCTTGTAGATCATGTTATTTGGCCGCCGGACCATGTATATATATATATACATATATCTCTATATAAATATAAATTTATTTTAAATATATTTGTATATAATATTTATTTGTTACATAGATTGTATTCAATAATCCCACAATGCTTCTATGTTTGTTGCTGGGTCTTCAACTCCTGCTTGTGGGTACACAATTATTTATTTTAATACGCACAACAGAATGGTACCAAGTACTATCAATGACGTTATTACTTGTGATCAATTATTATACATTATTTAAAGTAACAAGAGATTATCTTATTTGCTGGAAAGTATATCGTGCTGAACAGATCATACAAGGAAAGTGCCAGATGGTAATTAATTCCAACACTCAATAAACGAATGTGAAATTAATGTTTGATCTTTATTAATATTTGAAAAATTAAGAAACTTTGGCGATTCTGTATAAATTATTATTTATGTAAAGTGATATTAATTAATTTTAAAAATAGCATTGATCACGATCCATGAAATAAAGTACTGTAGTACTTGAAATTTGAAATGGGGAAACTTTTAGGAAAGAAGTTAAGTGTCTCTTGAGACAAGATATGTTAGATTGGCTATCGGCAATTGCTCTGATAGACTTTTTTTTTAATTCACTAATCACTCAATCACTTGTTTGCAGTATACTTAATGCATCGTTGATATCATGTACTATATATACATTTGGAAAAACCATGGAAATCCCACTTCTTAAGGTTACTTGTATCTTTACCTAGTTCTTCATAGTAATTGATAAGACTGTGCCTTTTATTACAAATACAAATGATATAAGGAATATAAATAAATATATTTTTATTTGTTTAATAATGCTTTTTTTATAGCAGATAATGCTTTTTTTGCAGTAGATTTAATTTATATAATATATTTGCTATATATATATATATATATTTTATATATTCACTTATATAAATATCACATATGTGTCGAATATTATAACAGTGGACTAATTGTAAGTCCAAAAATTATCAAAATTGATTTCATAATTCGTTTTACAATATATAAATAATTGTAATATAAAATAAATCATAAAATTAATATTTTTAATTTTAGAACTTATTGTGGACTTCAACTTCGGACTTTATTGGCATAATTACTAGCATAATTACTGGTATATAACATATATGTGATATTGGTCTATTGATAAGATTTTCATTCCGTAGACTAAAAAAAAAGAGGTCAATAGGTATAAAAAAATAAAATTCATTTCTATATTGGCTTCCATTGAAAGTGGATGTATTAATGTATTTTTATTTTTTTAACAAATAATGAAACACACTTTATATATATATATATTTTTACTAATAAATAATAATTATTTACTAATAGTAATATGGCCATTGTTTGTCACAGATTGATAGTTTTGTTCATCTCATGAATAATGTTCGATTTGTATTTTGTTTGTTTTTAGGTAATAACGAAACAAACAAATAATGCGTGTGTGTGAGAGCGTAACAATAATTATAAAATATAATATAATAATTATTATAGAGATGAAACATTTAAATTTTAACAAATTGACTTATCTAAAACTAATCAACGTGTTAATTTGAATATATTTTAAGATGAGAGAACGCAAATATTTTAATTTATAATCTATAGTGTTAATGTTATTTTATATCTTCTTAGTGATCTTTTCATTGGGCAGTGTTTTAAAGATATCGTAAGCTTATTAGATATAAAAAAGAAGCTACTGATTATAGATTAGAGAGCTACTTTATTTTGATTTATTTGAACAAATTGTTAAATATTTTCAAATTCTCTTTGTTGATAATCGTGCCAAAAATTTTAATCCTATAGAAAGCATCAATGAGAAAACAAAAGAAATCATAGTTTTGTATAATGTTTATTCAAATGCAATATTTCTTGTGTAAACTAACGTCAATTTATTTCATTGTTTCGTTACGAAAAGATTAAATCGAAAAAAGGGATTTGATTTCTTATGAATGATCATAAGTCGTTATTTTATTTATCGATAACAAAAGATAGTTAATACATTGTTCGAGTTTTCGTTTATACTGCGTTCTGTGCAATCCAATCGACGAATGAATAGACTCTTGTGAATACATCTGGGTATCCTACAGCACATGGGTGTCCGTAAGATACAATACCAACTTGGACACCATTGGCAACAAGTGGACCACCAGAATCACCCTGTACAGATAGAATAAATTCATTAATTTTTCATTATTTCAAAGAAATAATAATTACGTGGGGTAATATAATCATAAAATAAATTTGTAATTTTATACTATACTTACATGACAAGCACCTTCACCACGCTTGGTAAACGTACAGATATGGCTGTCAACTACTCCCCTATGTGTTGCCTGGCATTTTTGTTGACTTTCAACGGCCAATTGAAGTTGTTGAAGATGATTAGGAATAGGTCCATTCAACTATAACAAAAAAACAAAACCATTTAAATATCATTTTATTGATAAAATAGAATTAAAAAAATATATCGTCCTTATATTGATCACTCACGTAAATTCTTCCCCAACCAGTCAAAACAACATTGTCTCCAGCTTTGACGGCATTATTGGATGGTAATTTTACTGGTTGTACTAATGCTGAGAATACGAAATCTTTCGAGACATGGAGAAGAGCAACATCGTTGACTAGTTTGTAGGGATTGTAATTCTTGTTGACAATCAATTTGTCTGCTTGGTAAACTTTTCCACCTTCTTTCAATAAAACGCTACCAACATGGACAGTAACTCGTGATGCTGTTTTACTGTAAAAGTACAAAAAAAATAACAATATTGTAAAGTACTCTGCTGACACGAATTCGTTATTTTTATATTTATTGTAAAAGTGTTGAACGTTTTCATTGAAAAATGTTAGATGATTTAAACGAATGTAATATACTTACGAGACAAGACAGTGAGCAGCAGTGAGGACGTAACGTGAACTGATGATTGAACCACCACAAAAATGACTGGGAGCTCTCAATGATACTTGGTATGGATATTTTCCTTCTGGTGCATCAGTACCGCCGACGACACGACCAGTTGGACCGCCTTATAGAAAATGATACATATATATTTAATTGCATTATTATGAAAATAATTATTGCTTAATGAAAATATAATAATAATTTTAAATTGAAAATATTTGATGTATTTTTTTGTATACAAGTAAGTTAGAAAATGATAATATGTTGATTTATATTTGATTGTTGTACTCACCATAAACGGCGGTTGCCAAAAGAACAACTAACAAGGTAGTGAAGGCCTGCATGGTGATAGGATTATTGATGATTGTCAGCATTTACCTCAATATATATACACGTTTTTCAACTAGTCATTGTGGTGGGATATTAATCTAATTAATCCTCTTTGAAATCAGTTCAGATTTCTCAAGATTAATTATATCGACAAGTAATAAGTGTATCAATACAATGAGTACAATAACGTTGAAGTTGGAAAGTACGGAAGTTATCCTAAACTTGAGGGATTCCAGAAAATGATAAAAATGATGAAAATATATCAATTGATCGTCAAGTACTCACGCATCGGATCGATAATTTCTTATCGCGTGATTAAAGATTAACGCAACAATGATATCAATTAAGAATTATGATTTACTTTTTCGTATAAGAGGGAATTTACAAAAAGATTAATTAAATAGGTGTGTTTGAATGATTTTATTTTATTTTATTGAAATCATAAGTAAAACAACAAACAAAAAATGCCTTTATTCTGAGATATTTATAATACATTTATATTTTCATTTTCTATCTCTAGGTTGCTGTCCCCCTTTTTTTCATAATGCGATTTCAATTAAAAAATATTTTTGTTATCTTTAATATCGAATAAAGATTAAAGAAAAATTCAGAAATTAAAAATTAATAATAATTACAGGTGATGCAATCTTTACATTAATTTGCGTTTGAAAATTTATATTGACATTTCGATTAGATTTATTTTTTCTTAGAAAAAAGATACTCAAACGTTTACACGTTCGGATTTTTGTCATTCCTATCGGTACTCATCTTTCACGAAGATAGATTCATATATTACGTGAAAAAAATCAAGATATTGACTTATTAAATATATCGACTCTCTCTAACGTAGTAAGATAAAATTAATTAAAATTATCGCTGCTATCGTTATATCTTTTCATTGAATGTGGGTGATTTTTTAATAATAGATTTATCACTTAAGTTACTAGAATTATGATTAAAAAATTGAACTTTTAAGAATATTTAATTTTTTTGTTATTGTCATTTGTTCAACATTTTTCCAACATTGTTCATTATCAGCACTATCATTTCCGTTTTAAAAGAACAAAATCATGTTTTTTTTCTTTACGATCAATGCCTATAAATGTTTTAAAAAAAGAAAAAAAAACAAAAATTAAGGACAGTTTATTTTTATTTATTGAACATTATTTAAAAAAAAACAAAAAAAAATAATTAGAAATTTATGCAAATATATTTGCAATTCATACTCTGTTTTATTCGATTCTTTTATCATTAAATTTGTATCTGTAGATTATAGAATTTTCATATCGAAATAACTTAAAGGTTGTACACCAGATAAATTTCTTATTTTTTGTTTTGAAATAGAAGAGATATAATCTTTCGGTCTGATTGCAATAATTTTTCTCTATAAATAGAAATATTGCGTTTACGTGGGATCAGTTGATCGCGGGGCATCACACTTTATAAATCCCGTTGAAATTTATTTATGAATCTCGAAAGATCCACCTTTGATAAATTAGGTTCCTACTTATCAGGATTACTTATCCTTTTTTCAAACTAATTTTCTCCTCTTTGTTAACAGCGTTTGAAATAATTAGTTAATGGAAATTAATGTTATTAAAAAAAAATCTATACAAATAAGCGTAGAAATAAGTTTATATCTCGTGCATCAAAATAATATATTTTTCCTATTTTATTCTCCACGTATTTGATTAAATCAAATTCAATTGTACGATTAATTATATCATTGTATATTTATTTTTTCATTACAATTGACATTATTGAAAAATAACAATAAAATATTATCTTAATCAATAGCTTTTTCGATTTTGATGATTTATTAAAATGAAATGTAAATCATTCTTCGTTTAGTCGATCACTAGATGGCACAGTGTTACACCTTTTTTCGTTTTGTTATTCAAATTAAAAAAAAAAAAAAAAAAAGAAAAAAAGAAAAGAATCAATCGTACAAATAAAAAATAACGATCTTTATTTAAAACTTTATTTTTTTTTATACAACGTATCACATTGCCAACAACAAGAAGTTCATCATCTTCATATTCTTTCGTTTAGTTAATTTAACAATGGCTCGCAGAAACGTTCGTGGAAGTTTGTCGTTTGCAAGAGGCTTTCTTCTATCAAAGCTTTATTTTCATTTCTTTCTCTACTTCTGTCCAGTCTTGTTCAGATGTAACGCGTCTAAGAAAAACTATGTAACGAATAGAACAAGCTAAGAGACAATGTTTGCAAATCGTTAAGTCCGATGGTAAAAAGGGCGCTCGAGTTAAAACAAAGAAATATTCAGACTTTTTCTTACGTTTCTCATACAAGTGAAAAGCAAACTAGAATACGCGTACGTTATAAAGCATCATTTTGTTTTCTATAAGAACTCGGTTATCGATCAACAAATATATAGTTATACACATTTGAGTATATAAAAAGTAAATATTATAAAATTATTAATTTCGAATTTCTTCCAATATGATTGTGATTTGTCATTAATTATCATTTTATTTCTCGCTTGGAGAAAATTTTATTCGAATATATAATATATTAAATTTATTAAAATATGATATGATATCACGAGATCATACGCACGAGTATAAAACAAATCGTCAATTGTTTATTATTATTATTATTATTATTATTATTATTATTATTATTATTATTATTATTATTATTATTATTATTAATATTATTATTATTAATATTATTATTNTTATTATTATTATTATTATTATTATTATTATTATTATTATTATTAATATTATTATTATTAATATTATTATTATTATTATAATAGAAGCGCAAAATATTGAACGAGAAAAAGAAAAAGAAAATTTGAGATGAGAAATAATTTATTTAATTTGATTATTTCACAAATAAACGAATTCAGGTTACAGCAGAATTGTATCTTTTTGACGTACGCGTGAGGGGGATATATAACTCCCCGAGGATCGGTTGAAGGAAGAAAAAGAAGAAGCAAAACGCGAATAACAAGAACCCTTCGACTAGCGTAAGTCTTGATCCTGTTAACAGGATCATCCTACTCTCCAACGCATCGATGGGAAACCCTCTCTGCTAACCAGTCGTGAGATAGAATAGGATGCGTTTAGATTACTATCCGTATATTTCTGTGACATATTCCAGTATATTCAAGCACATTCAAACGCTATTCTTTCGTATTTTCATCGTAAACGAGAATACATGCTGTACATTTCCATCCCATTGTTTTCTCTCCCACGAATATGTTAGAAGCAAATACGAAAGATAAACACGATGAGGGATTTTCTTAAGAAAATGATACTACCTGTATACACATTGGGGCCAACAATTTCCAAAAACTAATATATTGATTAATTCTTAAATAATATATTATCGTTATTATATCAAATATTAACTAATTGTAAATTATGTTTCAAAATGAATTCAATATTGTTTTATGTACGTTAATGTTCTTGTATAATTTATACATCTAATTTAAGATAATATTTGGAATGAACTTATCTACACTGTAACATATTGAGGTATAACATCTACAAGAAAAACTGAATTCAATTAGAAAGATGTGAAAATCTAATTGTCAGGCTGTTTTTAAAAATAAAATCTGCATCTTTTTTTTCTCTTTTTTTTTTATATTATAAAAAGGGCAATACGAAGGAAAAATACTTGGTGCTCGATAAGAAGAAAACTAAAAAATATAATAAAATATCCGATGTAAGTGGGATTTAAAAATTTTTTACCGATAAAATACGAATTATTTAAGTCGTCAAATTTAACGATTTCTCTTATTGAAAACATACCACATAGTATAAATATCTTGGAAATCATTGTGTTAAGTCAAACGTAACGTATACGCTCGATTTACTTTGGCAACAGGAACTATTCGTTATCGATAAACGCGAATAATAGACATAGAACAGATATTGTATGTATATATGTATGTATGCATGCATACAAGTATCTATGTATATGATATTCGTTTAAAGCAGAAACTTTCCTGTAACGTAATACGGATGAGAACACAGATATTAATTAGGTCATAACAATATCGTGAGCACGAAACGATGCGTACGTTTCTAATTAAGTACGTGCTTCCGATCGACGAACGCGATAAGCTTTGCGCGCTTTCATCGACAAAATTAGAACGATTTACCTGTACGATTATGTGAATAAACGTAGTTTGCTTTACGAATCCGTTAATGTGTTTAGTATCGTTAGATATTCATTGATAACTCTTGACTTGGGAAAGATTTTCGTAAGGCTTGATCGCGATTTAACTGTCATTTTTTACGGATTTAATTTCGATTGGTTATGCACGTTCAGATTATATTTACATACGCATATCATTTGTCCCATTATTACACTTGGGAATAGAAGATTCTCTTCTGATCATCGTTAACTACTATCCCACCAGAGACATTCACCCTCTTTCTATTTCTTTCTTTCTTTATCATTTTGTCTATCCTTTTCCCATTAATTCATTCTTCCCATATACACAAATCGCATTATATCGTGGATAAAAATGGTACCATAGACGGGAACCGATTTGATATGCGACAGGCATAATCGAATTAACGTTTAGATACGACAGATGGTTATTCAAACGTAATAATAACAATCGTTTGATCATGTATATTAGACTTTTCTTGAATATTGCGTTATTATCTTATCAAATTGCAAAACGCAAATGACACGAAAATCATCATTTTCTTCTTATTCTTTTTCTTCGCGTTAGAGTTTTGAATTAAAGTTAGAATTTCATTTTCGTTAATCGTACGAAATGAAATTTTTCTTCAGGAGGAAGAAAAGGAGGAGGAGGAGGAGGAAAGGGACGGTAGTTTTTTCATTTGAACGAGTAATCGTTTTTAACAAAAAAATTACCGAACGATATTTTATCGAGAATTGTTGAAGAATCTTGTTCCCTTTCATAATTTTGTTGTCTCGAGAAATCGATGGGAATCTTCTTAAATGCCCGGTGAGTGAGTGAACGAACGGAGTTGTGGGTGCGCCGAACCAACTCGGCAAAACTCGGCACGAGTTTGAGCTTTGCTTTTTCGAGTTGGGCCTCACCGATGCTTTACTTTTATGCCCCGTAATTATACATTCTTCCGTTTGTTGCCTCTCGAAGTTTTAGGGTTACACTTAGAGTGTCCAAATCGGCAAGTTACGTTTTTCGGGCGCGTAACTCTCCCACGATTCGCAGTGCGATGTCCTCGAGCATTCTTTTCGAAAGATTCTTTTTTATTCTTATAAGTATGGCATTTTTTAAAAGAAGAACAGAAACGCGATGCAACATTGACGTCGAACTATCAATTGTGTGGAGAAATAATAAAAAAAATAAATCCGATTAATCTCACGCGAGTTCGTCCTTAGAAAAAACATATCGGTCA